AGAGAGAGAGAGAGAGAGAGAGAGAGAGAGAGAGAGAGAGAGAGAGCGCTAACCCTATAATTAGGCTGTTTCAATCAAGACATGTTAAGTTTCAAAACTAGCATATTTTAAATTTATTTTCTTAACACTAGTCATTAGGGTAAGGTCATAAGAGAAAAACAGTTACCATTTCAAGTTCTGTTCACTATGTTATTAATTCATTTATTAACGTCAACTAAATATTTCATAAGCAAGCTAAATATTTAGCTTGAAGCTGTTTAGAAACTAAACCCTTAACTCCATAAATACTTAGTATATTGTTGGCAAAATACTTACTTATCAAGCAAGCTAACTATTAATTTGTAGCTAAAAAAATTACCTCGAAATTAAACAATTAAGTTCAATCTAAATATTTAGTTTGAAATCTAAGAATTAAGCTAATTTAGTTAGCTCTAAACCAGCTAGATATGTAGCTTGCCAACTAAGAAACTGTGACATTTGTAAGTTAATGAACAACGTGGTGAAAACGGGACGTTGATTGTTGTTCATTTTAACTGACAGCCATAGTTCTGTGGTTCGTTTCAGGTCTGGATCAGAACCACGGTGGGGAGTACGCCGCCTACAGGACTGTGATTGAGACTTTCATCGCAGCTCTCAGGTCCTGTGACATCACTCCCTACGTGGTTCTGGATGGAGGTTCTGCTCACTTCAAAGCACAAACAGCAGTGAAGAGAGCCACGGATCGGATCCACCGGAAGCACCAAGCCAGCCAGAGCGGTGAGCAGAGCAGCATCCTACCGAAGCTGGCCCAGGTGGTCTTCATACAGACGCTGGCCCGGCTGCAGGTTCCGCTGGCCCAGTGTTTTGCAGAAGCTGACCAGGAGATAGCAGCGCTGGCATCAGAATGGTGCTGCCCGGTTCTGTCCAACGACAGCGACTTCTTCGTCTTCGACCTGCCGGCGGGGTTTCTGCCCATCAGCCACTTCCTCTGGCGGGAGGTGAGGCAGAGCGGCTCTCAGAGCTCCATCTGCTGCAGGAGGTACTGCACCTCCAGCTTCTGCAGCTTCTTCGGACTCCGGCGCCAGCTCCTGCCAACCTTCGCCGCCTTGGCGGGTAACGACTACGTGAAGCTGAGAGGGATCGACTGGACTCGGTTCGTCCACGCCGGTACCGGCACAGAGGCCTGCAGCCGCCTGGAGGGGCTGCTCTGCTGGCTGAAGGGGCTCCAGGAGTCCCGGGAGCCCCTGGAGGTCCTGGAGGAAGCACTGGGCCTGATGGGGGACCTGAGCGGGGACAAGCAGGAGCTCCTCCAGAACCTGCGTCTGGGGATGGAGGAGTACCAGCTGGGTCGGAGCGCTCTGAGCCGCTTCTTCCTTCATGGAGCGCCGCCTGAGTTCCCAGCACTGGAGCAGGTGAAAACCCGTTTCTCCAGAACACCTGCAGCTAGAACCAAAACCTCCTGAAGACCAGAGCTTCAGAAGTCTCAGTTCTGTGTTCTTATTAAAACTGGATCCGTTTGGACCTCCTGACGGGCTTTAGGACGGTCCTGAGGCGGTCGCCTCAGACGATTTCAGGTCGGGTTTATTGATCTCTGCTCTGCTCTCCTGCAGGGAGGCGATCGGGTTCCAGTCTGGATGCAGGTTCCTCTGGCCGAGGCCCGGATCAGCGGAGACGTCCTGGATGTTCTGATCCAGAAGTTTAAGAAGGTAGAGACTCCCTGAGGGGTTGTGGAACCCATCCACCTGTTCAGAAGCTTCCGGTCGGTTGGATCCACCACCCGGACCTGCTGACCTCCATCGGCTGCTTCAGGATCCATCACTGGAACCAAACCTGGATCGATCCACAATGTTTGGTCCAGCTTTCTGTTCCTCCAGATCTTCTAGAAACTAAAAAAATATTCCCCAAAATTAACAAAATATTGTTTCACCCAGCAGGGGGTGCAAGAGTGGAGGACTGGTCAAGACCTTCATTCTCCATCCTCAGTAGGATTGAGCAGCAGCGTCAGACTCTCAGCTAACCGTTCGTCCTCCCGCAGGCTGTGGAGCGAACCGTAAAGGAAACCAGCAAACCTCTTCAGCCTCCTCTTCCTCCTGCTCAGAGGAACAAACAGAAGGTCAGCATTCCTCTGGAAGTTTCCCCAGAATTCGTAAAACGATCAGTTCACGAGTTCTTCGCCCCTTCAACATCCATGAGGGGTTTAGTTCCTACTGTTATTCTAGCCAGGTGTCCCGGTTCTGGACCGGAACGGCTCGGTCCAGCTTTCTGCTGGATCTCTAATGAAGTCTGGTTGCCTTCAGGGAGCCGACTGGACCTGAACAGAGCTGCTTAGACCTCAGACCTGCAGCAGGAACACGAAACTGCTCCACGTTTAACCGGGTCTCATCTGCAGGTGGACCGAGGACTGAACTGTGAGTACCCGCCCAGCGCCAACCAGACCTCCAGGCCGCTGCGACAGGTGATGTACGGCCTGCTGCTGGGCAAAGACAAGTTCACTCCAGTGGAGTTTGACAGAGCGGGTCTCAGCCTGATATCCGTCCCAGTGGAGCCAACGTTCACCAGAACCAGCCAGAGGCTCAGACTCGACTCCCTGCCGCAGGTGATTTTATTCAAACCGAAGACTGTAAACCTGTCTTCATGTCCTCGTCTACCAGTGTCCCTCAGCAGAGCTTTCAGGGACTGAACCCTGTCCTGATGGTCTTCCTCCAGGTGGCGCTCTCTGACCGTCTGAACGTCCTACTGGAAGCTCTGGGAGTGACCCAGGAGTCTCTGCGCCTCCTGCCGCCTGAGCTGCAGCTCCCAGCAGCCGTCAGCTGCTACTGGGTGCAGACAGCTCAGCCTCCTCCAGACCTGCAGAGGGCGCTGCTGCTGGGGATGAGCAACATGCTGAGGTCCAGAACAGGTAACTGCAGCTGGGTCACGTCTGAACCGGGTCACAGCAGCAGGTTAACGTCGGTCAGGACAATGGGGGAAGTTAAACTAATTGATTTCATGACATCTGATGGCTGATCTGGACAAACATGTCCGCCACTGAGGGACAGCGGTCTCTGTCTAACATCTCTGGTCTTCCTTGGTCTCAAGACTTTGTCTGGTGGTTCTGGATCAGGAGGTTCTGGAAGTGGCTCTGACCTGCATGGTTCTCTTCCAGGTCCATTTGTTCCCTTCTTTGCTTCAGGATCAATTGTTTTTCTCTGCTTTCGCCTGCGTTGCAGTCCTGCCAACAGAAGGGAACCAGAACCCGGACCAGGACGTGTCTCATGTCTTCAGCCAGTGGCAGGCCTGTCTGAAGGACGCCATCCAGCTGAACCAGCTGCTGGATCTCCCTCTGCCAGAACCGGACGTCTCCAGGTCAGAACCCGGTTTCCTCTTCTTTCCAGGTCCTGGAAGATCCACAGCACCTGGATGAGCATCATGTCTGGACTGCAGGACAACCACAGGGACGTTCTGATGGACGTTCTGATGGACGTCTGGAGATCAGGAGTCTCTGAAAGTTTCCTCCATGTGGGCTGCAGCGTTTTGTTGAGTCTGAGGAGAATTTAGATTTCGTTTCCGATCAGGATTCTGTTCCTGTTTGGCTTTTTGTTTCTGAGCCAATAGCAGGAAGCGGCGGAGCGGACTGGTCCGGAGACACTCGTCTTTTAAACCAGAGCGGATGGACGAACGTCCTGCTGGTTCTTCAGAATCCATAGAACCAAAATAACCTGAAAAGTGCGGGAGGAAAATAGAATACAGGTAACATGAAGGAAAACAAGAAGTTAGTTGGAAGGACGATCACTAGTCAGGTTGTGTCAGAGGAGAGGGGGTAAAAATGCAGGGAGACCAGGACGCCCTGGTTCTGGTACCGCTCAGTAGGAAATGTAGCAGATGTTCTGGTTCTCCACCCAGAGCAGGAGAACTTCACACTAATATTGCCTGAAATAAAACTGGAAGTACTTTTCTGTCAGATGGCTGCTATGACCCACCTTTGGTTCTGACCCGTTTTCTTACTCTGGTTCTGACCCAGATTTAAACTTTATTCTGAAGTTGAATCAAAAAATGCTGGAAAATGTGAAGGCATCACAACGCAGAGATTAGCTGATGAGCCTGGGTCGGTTCTGAGACCCAACAGAACCTGCAAAGCACCGAGCGGAACTGATGGTTGGTCCTGTTTGTGTCCAGGTTGTATCAGGGGACGCTGGTCCACCAGCTGGTCCACAGGATGAGGAGCGGCGGGAAGCTGAAGACCGTCCTGAGGAGCGACCGGCCCAGCGAGGAGCTGTACCGCTCCCTGCTCTCCGCGGTCCAGAGGATCCGGTCCCGGACCCGCCGGACCCGTCAGAAAGCCGCGACCCGTTGGCAGCAGAACCCCCAGGAGCTGAGCGCCGACCTGCAGCGGCTGTTCCTGCAGGATGAGGAGACGGAGAGCGAAGCTCGGGCCGCCGTGGCGGCACAGGAGGAGCTGCGGCTGCAGGAGGAGCTGCTCCAGGTCCGAACCCGCTACAGAACCAAGGAGAGGAGCAACCGGAGCAAGAACCCGGAACTGGCCCGGAAGGAGGAGTGTCGGGGCCGGAACCTCCTCTGACCGTCCAGCTCCTGCTGTGGTCGCCTTGGCTACCTGCTGTGGTCGCCTTGGCTACCTGCTGTGGTCGCCGTGGCTACCTGCTCTGGTCGCCGTGGCTACCTGCTCTGGTCGCCGTGGCTACCTGCTCTGGTCGCCGTGGCTACCTGCTCTGGTCGCCATGGCTACCTGCTCTGGTCACTAAATGTTTTTAATGAATTTCTGAATCATTTTTCTGTAAACATTTTTCCTGGTTTTCTGACATTCATTTTTTGTTTTACTCTGAATGTTTTAATAAGCTGCTTGCTTTGAAAGATGTTTTTATTCTCCTAGTGACATAAAAATAAAGAAATAATTTTTATGCAGAGGGTGTATGTTAGAGATTTTTTAGTTATCATTTTTATTATTACTTTAGATCAATATTCAGTCTAATGTTAATCAATATTCAGTCTAATATTAATCAATATTCAGTCTAATGTTAATCAGTAGTGATGTGATGTGCTAAAACTTTTTGATCGCCGTGTTGATTATCTGTGTTCCTGTGAACTGATTGTTCCCTCCACCCTTGGAAGAAATGGCTCTCAAGGGAAAGAGCCTGATGACCTGAGTGTTAGATGGAGCTGCCATCTGTTTTATCTTTCCTGACTTTTGTTTTCCCAAACAAAAGGCTCTGGCAGAGAGAGGGCAGAACGCTCTGTGAACGACTCGGAGGAGCAGTTTGCTGAGTTTTCTCCTTTTGCAAGCGTTTGGCCATAAAATTCATATACGTTGTCTGTGGTTCTTTTAAGTAGGTTGTAGAAAAATACCTATCAGTGTACTTTATTTTTGATGGTCAGGTTTTGTCTCATTGATCCAGCAGCTCTGCAGAAGTTTACAGAACTAAAACAAAATCATAAAATATTAAAAATATTTAAAGTCCGACCTAACCTCTGGCTCCAAAACCAGCAGTGGAGGACAAACGTCTCATTTTTAGCTTGGCACTGTTGCTGACCTTGGAAACATTTTGTCAAACTACGGAAGAGGATAAGGGCCACTAAAAGAAATAATGATTTTCCTCAGTGGTCCTAATCCTCTTCCGTAGAACTGTTACTAGGTTATTTTGTAAACTTTCAGTTTAATGAAGTTTGACATCTCTGGGTTAGGCTTTTAAAAATGTCTTAATACTTTGACGTTAATATTCATGCTCTTATTTTGAAGTGTCAGTTTACACGGTAGTTCTGTTTCCGCTCTGCAAGAGACAAACGGGAACAAAATCAAACATGGACGGTAGAGAACCAGGTCGAAACATAGATATGATATTTAAGGGCGTTTAGAACAAAACATGTCAACATTAAATGGCGCTGGGGCAGACATAATCTGACTTGGCGTTAGCACCTTAGCATTAGCTTCTGCTAAATACTTTGCTGATGTAGCATATTAGCATAGCTCATACAGTTACTGCTGTAGGGTTGGCGCCACTGCCGCTTCAGCTAGCGACACCGACCAGTGAAGACCAGATTGAAGCTGATCTCAAATTAGGCGCCTGAGTTTTTGCCTTTTTATCTTTACAGAAGCAGAAATCACTCAGTCTGGATGCAGAAGGCAAATCTGATTTATTCAAAGGCTTTTCAGCACGTGGCAGAAACATTTCACCCTCCCTTCCTCAAAGGAGGATCAGCTTACAATCAGTAGCAAATCTCTAACCACAGCGCCCCTGTTGGTAAAGCGCTCCTCTGTCCGTCGGGCGTCAGACCCAGATGTCGGAGGTGCAGTCGCCCCCCGGGTAGCGCAGCTCATGGGCCAGAGCCGGGCCGTCGGGCTCCTGACCGAAGTCCACCAGGAAGTCCCGGTTGAGGGACAGACCGCCCCGCTCCGCGTCCACGTCGATCCGCATCATCACTGAGCCCTCTCTGCAAAACACAAGGACACGCTCAGCTTCTGTGGCCCAACATGGGGCTCTGGACCTCAGCAGGCTCCGGGTTCTGCCGGGTCGTGGGTCGGTACCTCATCATGTCCGGGTAGAACTGCTTGTCCCAACCGCTGAACAGAGACGTGGTGACGTAAAGTCTCCGACCATCCAGACTGAGCTGCAGCATCTGGGGACTTCCAGGGACACGCTTCCCCTGAGGGACAGACAGGTGAGGCAGGCAGACAGGTGAGACAGAGACAGGTGAGACAGACTCAGATCCTCTCTGATACCTTGATGATGCAAGGAGCCGGCTGTTCCTGCTTTTCTGGATCCTCCAGGACTTTGACTGGTCCGTCTCTGATGATGCTTCCTCCCAAGAACACCTGGAACAGACGGACAGGTGAGCAGTCTCACTCTGAGGTCTCGCTGCAGCAGCAGACAGGTGTGACGACATCAGACCTGTCCAACCAATTGTGGGTTCCTGCGGTCTGTGATGTCATACTGTCTGATGTCACCGTGGAGCCAGTTGCTAAAGTAGAGGAAGCGGTCGTCCAATGAGATCAGGATGTCGGTGATGAGGCCTGGAGACAGTTGAGACAGACAGGTGAGACAGAGACAGTTGAGACAGAGACAGGTGAGACAGAGACAGTTGAGACAGAGACAGGTGAGACAGAGACAGTTG